ATAGATTATTCAAGAAGGAAGTTTGAAGATTATAAAATGGCATTATACAAAAAATAAAAATAAAAATAAAAATAAATTCAAAAATAGTATAATAAATTTAAAAGAAAGTAGATAAAAAAATAAAAATAAACCTTGTTAAATAAAAAATAAATTTATTTATAGGAGACGATTTTAAAGTGCATAAAATCTTAAGCAATGAAGCATTAATATATTAAATAGGAGAAAATCTAATCAAATTTTTGAACATATATTTTTAATTTTTAAGAAAATCAAGTTCCTTGTCGTTAAATGTAATTATTTATGTTGAAAAGAAAAAAATTACTATAGATGATTTAAAACGTATTAAAAATAATATTTGGTAACTTATTGGATGAGATGATCTAATAGATACATTATCAATTTAAGCACATATTATAAGAAATTACCATGAAAAATTAATAAAAATAAATAAATAAAAGATGAAAATAATGAAAAGACATCAAAAAATACTGGAAAAAAAAACAAACAAACAAACAAAACAAAACAAAACAAAACAAAAAAAACATCTTATGCATGAGTAAATAATAGAGAATATTTCTATTAGAATATACAAAGGCAAGATTCATCTAAAGGTTGTGGCAATGAGGCCAAAACATCCAAAAGAAATATAAGTTCATTTTTTGTGATGATTAATTTTGATGGATCGGATGGTCTTTGAATTTTTTTCCTTCTTCTTTCAACTCAATTGAAGTAGTTTTTTTTTTTTTTTTTTTTTTTCCTTTTTTTCCTTTTTTTCCTTTTTTTAGGAAAGATATTTTTTTTACTACATCTTACTTTAACTTTCTTTTTTTTTTCAACCAACTTCTTACTCTCTTTGTTGTAGTACTAAAAGTAATCATTCATATATTTATTTTATCATATGATTGTTGTGAGTGGTTTTTTCTCCCCTCACTTAAGTCCAATTTAATTAAATTGTAACTTAGATTAGAGTCCAATATTAACTAATATCGAGATACAAACCATAGATAAGAAAAATAAAAATAAAAATAAAATGATATAATTATCATAATTTATCCAAAAAAATAAAATTAAGTTAATTATATATTTTATGATTTATTTTTTAGCAATTGCAGTTCATTTAGTTAAATACCTTCCAAGACTTATCTAATTAAGCTTAAACTTTGAAATTTATAAGTTAGTAAAAAAAAATAAAAATAATTGATACCACGCTAGAGTGCTAGTCTAGGGCTTTTCGAATTGATATCAACCATATCAATTAGAGTTATACCCAAGAAGTTATCCATGGATGAAGTTCTGATGGAAAAACTTTATTTAGAGTTGGAAATTTTTTAATAGTTAGCTTCAAATATTAAAATTCAGTATTAATATGTAGTTAGATTTTTTAAGACAAAAGAAAAAAAATTAAAAGATAAAAATAAAATAAATAATAAAGTTAAAATTTGGAAATATAAAATAAAAGTTATAAATTAAGATTAAAAGTTAAATAAAAATTAAATAACCTAAAGGTTAAAAGTTGAAGGTAAAAAGTTGAAGGTAAAAAGTAAAATCAAAGTTAAAATTTAAGTAAAAATAGAATAACAAAAAGATCAAAAGTTGAAGATAAAAAGATAAATTTAAAGTTGAAAGTTAAATAAAGATTGAAATAACATAAGGTTAAAAATTGAAAGTCAGAAGGTAATTGGAAGTTAAAATTAACAAATAATTACCAAGACAAGGTAAAAGATTCAATTAAGTAGCATTAATTAGAGGTGATTAGGAGGTGATTAGGGCAGAAAAAACTTACCTTGAGTATGTCAAGTGAGTCGAGTTGAGGACAGCAAACCTTTATTGTTAAAACAAATTTTCAGAAATTCTCCACAATACTTATGGATTTGAATTTTTTTGTGGTTGGATTTGACTTAAGCATGCTCTTATCGCCCAAAGCTCGTGGTGATCCAAGGTTTGACGTTCAAGATATGAATTTTTGAAGTAAGATGACTTGAACTACCTAGGTAGAAAATACTTGTCTACTTAAAGATCCACAAAAAATTGGCTAATGATTCAAAGTTAAGAAATCTGGTTGTTCCTAAAACTGCACTTAGCAAAGCTTCTTCTCCAGAAAATTTCAGTAGAAAAACATAAGTAAACACTAAGATATGTTTTTTCCAAGTTAGTTGTTCTAAACTGCTGAGGCAATAGATCCCTTCTCACCTAGAAATTCATCAAAAATTTGTTAGAACTCAAAAGTTGGTGAATTGATTTTTTTAGAAGTCTATACTTTAGAGTGCATTCATTCCAATAAACCTCATTGAAGTTGGATTAGAGACCACCGAGTTATGGATTTATAAAGTTGGCACTCTAACTCTACCAAGGGCAATGGACCCCTCCACTTGGAAATTCGCCAAAAATCCGTCTGAGCTTCAAACTACTCGTAGCTTGTGTCGTTTAAAAGCTGGTGACTAGAAAAAGATGAATATAGAATATTGCTTAAGAGAGTAAAAAATTGGATGATTGAGAGCAAAAATACCAAGGCAATGACAAGGTGGGAGAAAAATCTTTCAATTAAAAGACTAGAAACAATTTGGTAGAGCTTTGCCTTACAGAAAGGGGAAAGAGAGAGGGAGCTCAGCTACTCAAATCCTCTTAAGTAGGTGGGAGGAGGCCTAAAAGTAGTGGACACATCTTCACCATCTAGATCAAAAATTCCTAATCAAGATCAAGGGTCCACAGTGATCCTAAGCCTAAACCCGATTTCAAGTCTAAAAATGCCTATATCTCAAAAAATAATGCATTTCTGGCAAAACTAACACCACCAATGTGTCCAAAATGCAATTTTGTTCTACGATTGGCTGTTTTCAAGCTCAAATCTAAGTTATAACTCATTAAAACTAATTAATTTGCTAATCTAGTTGTAAATTTTAACTATAATTCTAATTCTAAGTATCCTAATTAGGAGATCAGCAAGGATTCTTGCCATCAAAGCCTTCACGATCACCATTCTTAAATTTGAATTCCTTTAAGTATAAATTCTAAACAAATTACAATACCTAATTTCAATTTGGCCTTGAGTTAATAAGCTTTTGATTTTTGATTTATTTATTTTTTCTCCATTCTTCAACTCCAATTAGTGATAAAAATCACTATGAAATGAAACTCCACCATAAATAAATAGATCGTCTCTATCTTCTAAAGATCATCATTAATTTAACAATTAGATTATATAAATTTTAATCTATTTAAATTACAAAACGAAATTTAAGCTTCAAAATCTTGAAATTAATTCGAAAGATAGAACAATTAGATTTGAAGAGTTTTCTAACTATAGTCAAATTAGAGATTAGCCTTAGAGTTAAAAATTAAGATTGCGGATTAATTCAAGATATAATTTCTAAAAATTAGAAGAGAAGTTCTACTAAAATTTTAGTTTTGGTACTAAAAGAGAATTTAAACCAAATCAAGAAAGAAGTCATAGACCTTCTAAATTTACTATTCTTAGAATTTTGATAATCAATCAATCTAATAATTAAAAGTATCTATCTAATTAACAACCTAAAAATATGATAAAAGTCATAATCAACTAAACAACTAATTTGAATCTATTAATTAATTGTTTCTATGTATAATTATCATTAATTCAATAAATCTTTAGAAAAAATTAAAATAATAAATTACTTGTATTACATAACTTCTATAAATTAAGCATTCTTAATATGAAGATATGTGTAGAAAATGGAGCTAGAAAGAATTTATTTGAAGGTTGAATATTATCAAATTAATACATAAGCACCGCTTATAATGTCTTGTTTGATTTGCTTTGAATTTTATAGGATTGGCATTTGGAGTGTTTCTAGTGATTTTATGATATCCTTTTAAACTTAAAATTAACTTGTGGATTTAATTTTTAAAACTAAGTTATTAATGAAATATATTTTGAAAAATCATGAGCAAGAAAAAACATTTTGAAAAATCTTAAACGCAATAAAACTTTAAAAAATTGATGCTTGATGAAATTTAGTGTTAGCATTATTAGGTATAAAAATTCATAGAAGTTATGTAATATAAGTATATCCTAAAGTTATTAATATAGAATAACTTTTAGATATTGTGGGTGTATTTGGAAATAATAAGTATACATGATCCATGCATCACATCTTTAAGAATTTCAAAGACTTATTTTTGTTAATAGCTGAGCTAGGTTATGTAAGCTTTAAAATATTTGAAATATTAGACCATATCTAAGTCAAAGGTCACTTAAAATTAATTTAAAGTATTATGCTAACAATAAAAGTTATGGCCATGGAATATGTAAAAAAAACCATATAAAATATTTATAGAAGAAAATTGAATAAGTAAATAAATAAAAGTATTTTCCACATATATAATATATGCTTGTATACACCAAATATTATCATTGAATTCTTTATCATTTTCTTATTTTTCTTAGTCTATCTGCATTGAACTACATGTATAAGTCTAAATACATTATAATATATATATATATATATATATATATATGTGGCTCAGATTACAAGTACATTGCAAATTATTATACACACACCCATTACGCCTATAGACACACTCAAGGCCTCTAATTGGTTGATCTAAATCCCTTCTAACTTTTCTCTATATAGGTCCCAAACATCTTTCCCTTCTTCTTTATTCTAGCCCAAATTCTACTCCTTTCTTCCCTTATCCTAGGTTGGAACAAAAAATAAGGAATCTGGATCATCAATCAAAGAATTTGGGTGTGTGTATAACAATTTGGGGTGTGCTTGTAGCTTGAGCCTGGATCAACCCTGTCATAAAGATTGGTAGAATATGAGGATTCTGTTTGCCTTTCATAAGTGATCTTTAAAATAAAAGACAATTTATACTTTCATTTAAAGGTATCCTCTTACGGATAAATACACTTTTCGAGACATCACGTCCGTCAAGACGGGGCCTACAAAGTGAGTATGTGGGGCCCATAACCGCGAGCACCTAGCGCTGCCCCCCCCCCCTTGCAAGCTCTGTCGCATCCGCAGTGCTGTACTTCAGCGACGCCGCGAATGTGCGTCCACAGTAGCTTCTAATGGCAACGCAGTGGGCGAAATTGATTGATTGATTGCTTGATGGGTGCGAAGAAGCATTATGTTGTGTTCGGAGGTGGCGCCGCTGGGCTGGAAGACTGGTGGCCATGGGTCAAGTTGCATTCGCTCTAGGGTTTCATTTTTGCGACGAGTCGAGACTGTGGCTGTCTTCTTTGATTCGCAACCGTATCCGCATCAGTTGCTGCATGCAGGTTCGTTGTCCTGGCCTCGTAGTTCGCGGCATACTGTGCCGGCATTGGAATTTGCGCCTCGGTATGAGCTCCAGGCTGTTGTGGCTGTTGATGCCCTCTCAGAAAATTTGAGCAGGTTTTGTTTTGGTAGCACGATTGACGCTCCGTTTGTGGTTTACAGCAGGTTTCCAGGACGTCTTTTTTCATGTGGTTATGACGTCTTTTTTGTCGCAGTTTTGTTGCGGTTGGATATAGAATGTGGCAATGATGTGGCAAAAATGGTTACATTGCAGTATTGTTGCCTCGCGGCATCGTCATTTACATTCCTAGTGTTAAATTTCATCATCCAGTTGTTCAGGAAGGAGTTGCAATGAGTGCTTAATTGTTGTCATTGTTATTTTCGTAGCGCATTGGCCCTGTGGTGTCTGGTCGTCGCATAGAAGTGAGAATGACCAAGGCATCAATATTTTTTCTCCCTTTGTTTTCCTTGTGTTTACAATCGTGAACTTGCTGAGTTCTCTATTGGACTCATCTAGCTTGCTCCGCTTATCGTTGCGACTGGAACTGGTGAAGTTGACATGCAGCACTGTCGTATCTTTACCCGATTATTTCCTCTTTGTGGTTTCAAATTTTGCATTTAGTTTAGGATCCATAATTTGATCTACTCGAATGACTGCGTAGAAGGAGAGACGGAAACATGTCAGAGCTCTGCGCCTCATGGGCACTGCCAATGGAAGGAAAGATAACGAGGGACAAAGTTCCGAGTGGTTGACACAGAGTCTGAATATTTCATTTTTCCAAGACAAAATTCAATCGGTGCTTCTGTATATTGCCTCTACAACTTATTTATTTATTTATTTTCCGGTTGTAGATTTCCGAAGCGACTGAAATCAGACAAGTACTTTGAGTACAAGCGGATACTTTATGAAACAAAATCGGCGTTTGTGAGAAAAGGAATATCTTTTCCGTGAAACTGTAAAGAAATGCCAACATCCTGTCCCTGCCATGGCCCTGAGGATCCTTTTGATGGAGCTTATGCAGCGAACAAACTTGAAGAACTGAAAGAATTTGAGTTGCATGAAGAAGACGCAGAAGGCTGGTTATATAGAGGTGAAGGCTCTGCCAACATCGTATTAGCCTATCATGGCCGTCGACCTTCATTTGTAAGTAAATTTTCTCATTTCCCATCTTCAAGCCGGTTGCTCAGCCACCTTACCAGGTATGATGGAGGTAGCCACTCACATTGAGTATTGGGCTCTATTGATTGATTTGGCGCAACAGATCGGCAGAGTTTTACGGTTACGCAAAGCTTCCAAGAAAGATGATGGAACTCAGAATCAAGTGAAAAAGGAGCCCAAGCCAGTTTTGTCCGAGGAGGAGGCAAAATTGTGGAGAGAATGGCCAAATATGTCGAAGGCAACTACATCTGCTGCATTGGCACATGTGTTCGCCTGTGAAGTCATGCAACCCTTACTTGGGGAAGATCACGTCGATGCCGGGGTATTTTATCTTTTGATCACCTACTTTCACCTATCGACTGCTCTACACGAGGAAGTGTTTTCCGAGAGGACGCTGTTCGATTTGGTCAAGTGATGAAAAGAAATGCTGTAGAAGAAATACATAAATAACCTTCTTGAAAATTAAGCAATTCGCAGAGCAGCACACAACTGTAACAAAGTCGTGTGCCTTGCACTTGGTGCTGAGAACATGTGCTGGTTTTTGTGTAGCTTCTCGTGTTTCTGACTACGGGCTTCTTAGAAGCCGTAAGCCGAGATGTACTTGCTAAGCAACGAGAATGGCGAAGGAATGATTCCAAGATGGATATGACAGCAGGTGTTGCTCTTTTGATCACAGATCATTCCTTATTTCCTATTGTCCCAGGTGAGTAAAGCTAAGTAATTGTTTGCTATAACCCTTTCCCTGGTCTCAACACTTCGTTAATTTTTTGCTTTGTTTTGTTTTTTGTTTTTGTTACAGTGAAACTGTCACTTATGCCTTTCCAATTTTCTAGATTTAATTTGTTTATGGTTTAATTTTTAGGACAGAAAGGCAAACCAAAAACTAAAAAATAGAGAAATATCTATTTTGTTTTATGTAAGATCTTGTTTATATTATATGAAAACGTGCATTGAGTGGTTCATATTAGTGTACATTCATACATCCTGAATTTGGCCACCTTTTTTGGGGCAGGAAGAGTAAAAGATTTGCCACAAACCATCACCATCGAAATCAAGGTGATAACGGCTTTCATCTTCATATGCGCGCTTCTTTTGGGCTTCGTATTCGATCTTAACGCATGTATGTAGTGATTGTTAGACATCCTTTTAGTGTACGCTTGTAATTGATTCCTAGAAAGCGAATGTAATTTTCTTAACCACATTTAGTTACATGATCATTCAATTGTTAGCTCAGCAGAGGGTGGCGATCATGAATTTTGCAGCCGAAATGGGGTTATTTGCCAGATGCTGCAACAATTTCTGAAGAGAATAGTGTAAAAAGACACGTGACACGTTTCGCTATGCATCAGCACCTGAAGCTTCAGCAGGGGAAGGTTTGCCCCATATGCATCCATTAAATTCATGTTAATTGCGCAGGGAGGTTATGATCTGGGAATGGCTGATCAACCATTCTCTGCGTTTGGAAATTTCCAGTGATTCTCCACTTGGAGATTCGCCATAACATCCCTATTTTGTGTCTTGCTAGATGATATAATTCATCCTAAGTATAACCAATAACTAAGTCGGAAGTTGAAGTGCCTGTAATGACTGAAGCAGCTCTTGCGAAGTCAACTTTGTTCATTATGCTCTTTACATACTTTTCGTTACATACTTACAGTTGCACTAGAAAGGCCTCCATTGAAACTCAGATTCTTTTTGTTTTGTTGCGTGTAAGAATCACGGTTGTCCATGTAAAGCTTCATGGAAGGAGTGGTGGGATAATTTGTGGAATATAAGCCTTTCACGTCTTTATAATTTATTTCCTCTTTCTGGGTTGCTATCGTGTTTTCTCATCTACTTCATGATCAGATAAAAACCATGAGCAAGTACTGTCCTTTGGACCTTTTCTCGGGCAACGTAGAGGGAATTCATAAGGCTCTCGTTCAGATGTTTGAGACACCTCAAAACAATATCCGGATATTTTTGAAAGGAGTAGAAATTTTTGGAGGTCCTGAAGATGGAGGTTCGACTAATGAACTTATGGTCGCTTTGGAGGAGAAACTTGGAGCGGTGATGGTAGCTCCGGAGGGGGAACGTGTACTTATATTTCAGCGATTGGTGGCAAGCGTGCTAAACAAGAGTAAAGTACTGGACCAGTTGCTAAGGTTACAGAAACTGGATACCTATGCAATTGAGGGCGCAAACTTGGCGTATAGCAAGTTTACGGGGATGACCGATGATGCAGGTCTGTTGTCTGCAGTATGTAGTTTCTGTCAGGTGTAGTGGTTGTCAACGTCGCAAAGCAGTGAAAATCCCTGGTTCAGAAATCAGAGACTTTAAATAACATGTAGCTAGAATATTCAGATAAAAATAGGATTTGGTATAACGTTTTCTCTACAAGGATACCTATAGACTGCTCCTTTGATGTGCTTGAATTATATCAGTTGTGTTACGATGCTTAGGTTCCAGAATGAATCAAGCAATATCTTATATGGCAGTGTATCTAATGTCACCAAAGCTGTTTGCACGTGCTGATCAGGCGCAGATGACGAATCAGAGGCAGGTTCAGAAGAAGTTGGAGCTGAGATTGATTCTAGACCGGTATCTACTGTTGGGTTTGGTAGGGTATGTATTGAGAATCTAGCTTTAGAGCCAGAGGACACACAGAAGAAAAGAGACAAGGCATGGATCAAATCTCTGTCCTGGGAGGAAAGTCGCTGTGTAGTTCGGAACTTTCTGATTGCGGCAACTGCCAAAGATTGTGGCATTATGCTTACATTACGGCCATTGTACAATGAACACGGAACACCATTTTCCGTACCTTCAGCTTCTGTTGCGACGTGCCCAACAACAGGCCAACAGTATGTTAGCAAGGTAGGTGATATGATACCTCAAAACTCGCCAAATTCCATCACCTCAGAAATTTCATTTTTTGCTTACTGATGCTTTGATGTATTGGCAGATTGCCTTCTTGGACTTGGATACGAAGCGACTAAAAAAGATACCAGTCTATTACTCGCTTGACCAACAGATCGTAGACACTTACAAGGCATGTTCTCAACAACTAGCTAAGCTACTCTAAGACGTATTCTACACAATTTTTAGCATCTATTAATGCCTTAGAGTTTCCCTCGACCTTTGATAAATCTGATGGAAGATGCAAGCAAATGATCAGTTCTGTTGTATGTTCTGTGTTATCTTTCTGAAAGTAACGCAGGATACCTGGAGATGTGATCCACTACATGGATTGAAATATTACGGTTTATGAGCTTTATCAATTTTACATGGTTTCTAAGATGTGAAAGTGGCCTAAAGCTCAAATGTACTATTTTGCAGAATGAAGCACCTAGACATATGTAACCGATTTATCTTGTTCGAATGACCCAGGAAATATGCGCTTCTTTTAATGATTTCAGAAAAGTGGAAGGATTTTCGCTGCATCCAGTCTTGAACCTTCAAATATGTCTTCATTTGCCTTAACATCAAGATTCTTGTGTAGTTTAATTTTCCTTAGAAGGCATTTTCGAAGTTTCACCAAAAACTATGAAATTGATTTGCATGTGTTAAAGAATGGAGATGGACTGAGGTACTGGTGTCTACCGTGAGTGTCACGGTTTTCTTACACGGTTGAATTTAAAATTGAAGCAGTTCAAGCAATACATTCACATCTTGTACCTGTGTCCAAAGCATAATAGACGCAATGTAACGTAAGCTAGGGGCGAGCCACTGCAGTAAGGCCCAGCATTATACAGGACAGAACGTGCACAGATTTGGGTGGCACAGTAGGAGAATTGGTGGAAAAAAAGTATCTAAAGAATAGAGACGCGGATGAGAGAGTCAATTTGTAATTCAAAGAGAATTCATTGGAGGATACACATGCCTAGTAGGAGAAGAAAAAGATTTAAAAAAAAAAAAAAAAAAAAAAAAAAAAGCATCTCAATGCAGTGCCATTGTTTTTAGGTTGTGTTTATATATATATATATATATACATATGTATACATTTTTAAAAAGGTTTAAAAAAATGCATATATATTGTTATTTTTGTTTATTTCTGTTTATTCTTTTTTGGTCGTAATGACAATAATTCTGAATTTGACAGTAAAAGTGCAGTAGAAAATTACAATATAATGGCATTGCTATTTTTATTCTATTGTGTTTGTTTACTTGTTTTTGTTTTATGCTTTGTTAAATGAATTTAATTTTTTTATAGATTTTTTTTGCACTTTAATATGGATGTAAGAAATCATTAAGGTAGATTTTAACTAAATTATTATTTGTGTTTCAAGTTTTTTATTTTTAATAAAATAAAATTTTATTTATCCTAATATTCATCAATTGTATCAAATTTACAATTAGATATGGTAATATATAATTTAAAGTCCTACACAACTAACTTATATAATTTCTTGTATTATTAAAGTTGTTAAAATCAATTAGAATTAGATAAGTTTTTTTAATAAACAAATGAATATTGAAGAGATTGAAATATTATAACTATAGTTACCTTCACAATTTTATAGATTATAGTTGATTGCATTGCCCTAGCAAATTTAAAGGACTTAGTTTTAGACGTATTAATCAATGATTTTTGAAATTAAATCTTTGATTTTTATCTATAGCATTAATGATATTTCTATTTTGTAGTTCATATAATTTTTTGTATATAATTAACTAATATAATGAAATATGTAAGATCCTGACTTTGTAATATATATTATTTTAAAATATTCTTATAATAATTTCACTTGTTCTTAATAATACACTAGGTTTCATTCAACAACTTTACTTCTTTTAAAAATTGAATTAGAAGAGCTCCATAAGAGTATCAATGTCTATTAGCTAGCATTGTAAAATACTTTCAAAACAAAAAAAATTGTAGAAGTTGAGAGTAAGAAATACAAAAAGACATAGCTATTAGAAAAATATAATTCCTATGAATGAAGATAGTTTTGAGAGATAAGGAATTAAAAATACAAAATCTTGAATTTTAGGTAAAACTAGAACAAATGTAAAGTAAAATACTAGGGTCGCCATCAAATAAAATTAAAATTAAAAATAAAATAGTAATAAGAATTTTATTTATCTTAAATATAAAAGAAACATAATTTTTATTTACTTAAAAACTTTTATTAAATTTATGCATTATGGTCTATAAATAATTTTTGGTCATTATATATATATATATATATATATATATACATGGATTTGCACTAATTTTGTAGTTACTATATTTGTATGTTATTATAATTTTTACTTGTGTCATATGCTTTCTTATAGTTGTGTTTATTTTGGTATATATAATATGTAAATGTAAAAATTTATTTCAAATATTTTTAAAAATTATTAAATATGGTAATAAAAACTTTGGTAACATACATATTAGCCACCATGTGTAATAAAGTGTTTGATTAGAATTATAAGACTGATTTGAAGACTTATTTGTACCTTGTTTTAAAAAAAAAAATGACTTAAAAAATATCACAACAATCATTTTTCATAAATAAATATATTTTTCAGATTCATTGTTATATTCATATATTTATTATTTCTTATCAAAATGATTATTTGAAATTAAAAAAAATTTATATGATAATTTGTTAAGAAAAGCTATAATATTTACAATTCAAAGTATAAAAATAATAGTTAGCTGTTTTGAAACCAATCTTGTAACTCATTAATTGCATAATTATAGTAATTCTTGTACGTGCAATTAAGTTATTGATAATAAAGATAAAATAAAATAATTATTTATTCTTATGGTAAAGAGAAGAGATGGAGAAGTATGCAAAATGATGGATTTGTTGGGTGATTATATAAACTTGTATACTGCATATATTCGATATTGCGAACACATTGCAGACTCTATGTATTGGCTATAAAAGGAATACTTCCGTGTGATCTTGGGTCGCTCTCCCATGTCAACCGTGTGGCAGGATTTTGATCCTTTCAAAATCTGGTTTTCAAACTCTACAGAATTTTGAAAGTATTTCGCCACTCAGGGGATCAAATATGAAGGATCAAACACTACGAGATGGAAGGGAAAGGCATTAGATGTGTCCAGAGTTCCTAACCTGGTCGAGTAACCAGCAATGTGTCTTCTCCTGGTAGAAATAATACGTGTTGGATCTATCAGAAATTCACGCCTGAAACAATTCTCTCAAGGTTCCACGTGCTGAAGTGATCACTCAATCAACACGTAGGAATCCTCCTCCCTGGCCAGCAAGGAATTGGAATCTGAATTCTTAGGTTGGTTAGTTTCAGCAGAAAGCTTCGTGGGGCCACCAACTCGGTTAACAGCGTCTCGCGCTTGTTGCTCCCAATTGGTGCGAGCAGTGGCCATGGAGAGAATAAGCACCTGTGTAAGGATTCCACCCAACATGCCAATCCAGAATCCAAAGTCATTGTAGTGGTATTTAAAGGCCAGCAGAATGCCAACAGGCAAGCCCACAACATAATACGAGCTCAGATTGGTGACAGCGCCAAATGTTTGCCAGCCTCCTCCTCTTACCACCCCTGACAAAACTCCTTGGATGGAGTCCACACAAGACAAGCAGGCCAGAATCGGCATAACTTGAGAAACATAATTGGCAACCTCTGCGTCGGATGTGAAAAGCCAGCCCCACCACATTCGCGCGGAAAACAAAAAGGTGGCAACGGCCGAACCTTCCAGTGCGGCTAAACAGAGCGAGACCGCTACTGCTCGTCGAGCAGCATTAGGATTCGAAGCTCCGAGCTCGTTTGACACCCGGGTACTCGTGGCTGCTCCCAATCCATACGGAATCATGTACATGAGGGACGAGGTTGTCAAGCAAACCGAGAGAGCGGATGTCTCCAGCTTCGGATTTGGAAGGAGGCCCGAGAAGATAACAAGCAGCTCGAAGGACCAGTACTCAAAGCAGACCATGATGGCGGAGGGGACTGCAAGCGTGAAAAGGCCCGCGAGGTCTTCGAAAGCCTCCCGAGATAACCCAGTCCATGTCTGCTTGCAGTGGGGCGAGAACCTCACATAGGTAGCCAGAATTGTAACATTCACCCAATTTGAAACGCTTGTAGCAATGGCAGCGCCTCGGAACCCAACCCCTAATTTAAATATCATTAGGTAGCAGAGAGGTATGTGGAAGAAGCACAATGTGGTGAGGGAGGAGAAAGACATTACAAAAACGAGGCTCTGAGCTTGCAGAAATTTCACTAGGGGTTGTATCGCCGCGTAGGCAAACAGCGATGGAATCAGGAACCGTGCGTACTCTCCAGACTTTTCAGCAATCTCTGGGTCCTGGCCAAGTGCAATCAGGATATTGGTCATGTTCCACCAGATCGCAGCGACTGGTATTGCAGTGAGAAAAAGGACAATGATTCCTCTCTGAAGGTAAATGCCCACCATCTGATAATTTTTTGCACCAAATGATTGTCCGCACAACGTCTCCAGAGCACAACCCATGCCTACCAGCAGACTTAAACCAGAGACGGCCGCGAAGGACGACGCTAACGCAGCACCAGCAAGCGAGAGCTCCCCCAGGTGTCCCACAAACATGACGGACACGACGAGGAGAGAATACTCGAGAAAATTTACAGCGATCATGGGACCAGCCAACCATAACTGTTTGCTGAGCTCGGTCGTGAACAAGCCTCTGATGCTCTCGCCATCCCTTCCACCGCTGTCGGCGGACATATTGTTCCCCCCTGCGACGATTACATGAATGTTACCATCCTTTTTGGGATTTTCGCTGTTTCCATTATCAATGAGAGGTTCTATATACGAAGCATCTGGGTCCATTTTGTCGGCCTCACACTCAAATTCTCAAATCTCAGAGCTCAGCTTCGAAACGGTAGACCTCAAACTCGATACTGTCTTGATCGGGGCGGCGGTGATGACGAACAATCACCACTAACGCCAATTCATCTCTTCAAATTTCTGCAAACAGGACAGCAGGTTGGATAAGCCTTCAAAACTGTCTAAGCTCCCAACTCCACCTAAAAATGTTCTCGCAAACTCCGATTCTCGAATCAACTCGCTACAATTCATCAAAGTGCAGAACTAAGTCCAGTTCTAAGCAGAAGTTGGGCGCCACATCCAACGCCCACATGATTCCTCGGTTGAAGAGAGGCCGTCAGTCTGCCTACCCAGAGTTTGCGGACACATGAAAAACCCTAGAACTCGTCTTCCACCAATTCTGGCAACGAACATTAGCAAACTCATAGCAATTCACGACGTCTGACAAAGCTCGTCACAAACTGCAAAGAAGCAAGAGCAAAATTCACCGCAGCGACCCCAGCTTTTGAGTAAACATCAGCAAAACCAAGGGACCTGCACAGCTTAACAAAGGACAATAATAACAACAACAACAACAACAACAACAAAAACATCAACAACAATGTTTTTCTCTGAACAGCCTGAGACTGGTCAGTGATTGATCGAGTCAATGTTGTAAAAGAGTGCAGCACTTTGCGTAGGAGAATGCTTTTTGCGACTACCCAAAAAGGGGTCCTCCCGCATTGCTGCTTGGCGACATCAGTAATAGAAGGAGATGCTGTGCAACACTCTCGGTCAAATGCACACCGAATCTCCTCCTCCTATTCTTCGTCCTCATCCTTCCTTGACTTTGATGCGCATTGCAGCGCCTTCGCAACATGTGCACAAAAAGAAAATTCGCTGGGTTCGAAATTTAAGGCGCTGCTCATTTGATTCGGAGTCAGAGTCAAAGATGTCACCTGCTAAATCTCTCCGACAAAATCAAAACTGGCAGAATCCAAAGTGGGTGAATAAGAAAACATTATTTGAACGAGTAGTTTGATGTTATTGGTGTAAACAGACTTGATCTCTTTACAAATACCTGTTTAAAATAATTAAAAAAATCTGTATTGTTGATGGCCTTGTACTACTCTTGATACAACTTGGTATCAATGTACTTTATAATTTGTCAACGATATTAAAGATATCAAAGATACAATTATATCATTGTACTTTAGTTAGTGCTTTTCACAAAGTATGCTCTCTTTTCATTTTGCTTCTCCTTCTCAACAAAAATTATACATAGCCAGGTCCCACGTGGACAGTATATGAATTTTTCTAAGAATTTTTCTACCCATTTACTTTGTTTTTTTAAAATAACTATATTAAAATTAGTATTAGGTTATTCAACAAAAAAGTATAAAAATGAAAAAAAAAATAATGAGATTATAGATAAAAGATAGCATACATATTTACTTTTATAAGTTTAAAATTTTAAATAATATTACTATCATATATTTTTTATTATACTAATTTTTATTTGGTTTTATATCTTAAAAAATTCATAACATATCAAAACATAAATTTAAAGAAATTATATGGATATATATATATATATATATAGAGAGAGAGAGAGAGAGAGAAAAAAAAAAAATGTTAAAATGACCCATCCTATCATGAACAACAAGGAAAAACTAAGACTAAGGTCAAACTCAAGAAGGTTGAGAATGAAGAAAGTGGGACCAAGAAACAAAATAGGTAGTAGTGAGAGCCATAATTGTAATGATGGTTTCAAGTGATGATCCATTTTTTAAATGATGGTTATGATAGGATAAATATATTTAGTAAATAAGTGAATCATTTTATTATTATATATAAATTAATAAAAATTTAATATTTTTTTAAAAAAAAAATCAATAGAAGTTTTATTAACATTACAAAATAATTCATAATTATCAGAAATTTTTTTTGGAACTAATATTTATTTCTAGGTTGCTATAATGATGGCATTATATTAGCCAAAAATAAATAAATAAATAAATAACCAAACAATAAAAATATAATACATACAATTTTTCTAAGAGAGTTCCATACATAAATATATATATATATATATATATATCCAAGATATAAATACATATGTAAAGCCTTGTTATCTCTAAAAGAAATGTACTTGAATTACTTTGTACTATTTCACCAAAATAAGTAATATTGAAAGGAATTTTTTGGATAGAAAGATATGATGTATCAATTTTATTCAAATATCCTTAAGGATGTTATTGAACTTAATAATAAAGATATGTAATGGAATCCGTGTTAAATAGGAAAAAATTATATCAAGAATATTTCCATATGGATTTACCTTATTGAAAAGTAGTTTGTATATTCTTATATTTTATTTGTTTAATTGACAATCACGTATTACAAATATCAGCATTATTAAAATCAATAATTGTTGCTTAAAGAAAATGTTAAAATTAATTTAATATTTGATACTAAATTATTTCACTTAGCTACAATAAAAATAAAAATAAAAATCATAATTATTTATTATTATTATAATTATTATGACACTAATAGTTTCTTTAGATATATTTTTTGCATTTGAAAATAATTTTATATTTTAAATCCATAAAAAAAAACATTAAATATATGCATAAGCTAGTAATTACTTATATAAATAGATAGAAATAAGTAAAAATAGGTAAAAGTAAGTTAATTCTATAATATCTTCTATGAAAGCTTCTTAGAAGCTTCATAGACGTTGCTTTGACTTTATAGGTGTCTTTAATTGACTTTTTGGATTAGAAACGTGATCAATAAGTTGGCCATGTACCACATATATTGTTAGCTTGAAGATCAAGCTAATTATGCGGCCCACACATAGTAAAATTTACCTTATAAATCAAGGCATGTGTCATACAAAGTCAACACATATTGAAGGTCATATAGAACATTGCCACATAGCCCTTAGTTAGATAGTATATATAGAGACAAGAGTGAAGCCCTCTTCACTCTTGTCAACTCCTTTCTTGCTTCTAGTCTAGTTTCAAGAATATTAAGTTTTCTTGTCTTTTGGAAATAAGCCTTTCTAGTTTCTTCTAATATACATACTTTCTTATTTTTATTTTGTCACCCTTTCTTTGACACGGATTTTATTGGTTTATGCATCATCTTTTAATTCATGTCGTTGACAACACCATTCTTGAAATAAATCCACAATTGCAAGAAGTTTTGTATTATAAATCTCATAATTGATCTTGGCTACTAAAAACTTCTTAGAATAAAAAGCTATGAAGTAGAGCTTGTTATTTGCTTCCATTTGTGAAAAAAAAACACCTATAGAAAAGTTTGATGTATTTTTTTACATAAAAAATATCTTAAAGAAATTGATGCAATATAAAATTGGTACAAAAATAAATATTGTCTTCAAGGCTTCAAACAATTCTTTGCCTACTTTATTCTACTTAAGTGTGTCTTTACATATTAGATATATAAGAGAAGCCCCAACTTGAGAAAAATTATTGATAAAGTTATTTTAATAATTGAAAAATTTCAAAAAGCATTATATATCTCTCATTATTTTTGAGATCTTTTAATGTATGATAGTTTGAACCTTCTTAGGATCCATCATAAGACCATTGATTGAAATGATGTATCATAAAAAATCAACTTGAGTGGTGTAAAATTCACACTATTCCATCTTGGCATATAATCTTATATTTCTTAGTTTTTGTAATATAAGACAAACATTAACTTTATACTCTTTTGTGTTTTTAAAATAGATTAGGATGTTATTTAAATAATAAATAATAAAATTATTAAGAAATTCACAAAAAATATCATTCAAGAAATGTTGAAAAATAGCTTGTACGTTTGTAAGTCTAAAAGATATGACATTATATTCAAAATATCCATGCATAGTTCAAAAAACAATCTTCCATTCATCTTTTTTTTATATAGAATAAGTTATATACTTTTGTGGGTCTATTTTTGTATAGATCTTTGTTTAATTGAGTTGATAAAAAAGACTTGAAATCATAAATAGGAGATACTTATTCTTAATAGTGATCTTGTTAAGTTCTTGATAGTCTATATACATTCATAGAGCTCTATCATTTTTCTTCACAATTAAGATAGAAGCTTCTAATAGAGATATCAAATCACATATTAAGTTCTTAACTAAGTTTTCATCAATGTACTTCTTTAAAGTAGCAAATTCATTCTATGATAAGCTATAGATTAGTCCAAATGGTGATTGAGATTCTTCTTGAAGATCAATTAAACAATCATAAGGTTGATGCTTTAAAAGAATATCTACATTTTTTTTCTTTAAAAATATCTTAAAAATCTTGATATTAGCTAGGAATATCACTTGATACTTTTTCACCATCAAAAATAAGTATGCCATAAATAAAAAAAAAAATGATCTTTTTTTTGCTGCATACATGAAAGTTCTTATATGTACTAATAAGGATTTGGATGTACTAGATTTATATATTTCTACTTGACTAAAAATATTTTTTATTAAACTACTAAAAAAATTAAGATTACAAAAAATTTAATTTATTTAAAGATTATATATTTTTTAACCATGATAATCTTACAATAATTAGGTTAGAAGATCTTATTATATTAAATATTACTATGCTATTATAATCTTTAATTATTACATTTAAAGGAACAATCCTATGGATAATATCTCCAAAAAATAACAAACGACCATCTATGACTTTTACATGTACAAATTTAGTTTTTTAAACTAAAGATATTTCTTATTTTTTGACAAAGTCTTTTTGAAAAATCATAAAAGAGTCGTGAATCTTTTTCTATTAAAATTAAAAAATAAGAAAGAACACTTTTAGATAGAAGTGCACTTATAAATTCAACTTGAATAAATATTTTAGGATATTTGAAAGGATGTAGCTTTAGATATAATTTGGCTTATTGTAGAAATTGTAAAATTTTTGATCTTCTTCTATTAAACTTCTTGAGCATATTAATCATAGTCCGCATTGTACTTATAGAAACAAAACTTCTTAGATTTATTTATAAAATTGATTTACTTGCTTCTTTTAATTACACAACTTCATGACATAGACTTTGAACTTCTTCTATAGACAAAGGATTAGTACTTTTATGGTTGGCTCTAAAAATACATAAAATTTTTACAATAAAAGTATTGACAAGTTGATGAAGATTTGCAATAGTTATTTTTTTATTCTAACTTCTGTTAAATGTAGCATCTATGATTTTTCTTTCTATTTTAAAAAACTTAATAAATCCACAAGTCAAATTAAAGGAGGATAATTTATAATCTTTAATAATAAATAAAAAAAATTATAAAAAAGAATAATTTGTTTTTTTTAAAAATAATAATAATGTTAGAAAAGTATTTTAAGGTAGATAATTCACAACCTTCAAAATACAATAATAAAAATAAAATAATCCATTCACTTCTAAAACACAATAAAAATAATAATTTTGCACTCTTGTCAAACTATTGATGACATGAATCTCAAAGAAGAAAATCCTCAATACATTCTTATGTTATTGAAAGAACTAAAAAATTACTCAAAGATGATATAATATTAAATTAGAATGGCTATTGCCCAAAAAAAGAAGACTTAAAGTCTTGAAAGAAGACAAAAGACTATAATAAGTATTGACAAGAGTAAAGAAGGCTTCACTCTTGCCTCTATATATACTCTCTAACTAAGGGCTTTATGGCAATATTCTATAAGACCTCCAACATGTA